CTGAGTTTAAGATGCTTCAATTTCCCCCCTCCCCTGCTCTTACCCAATGCCCCACCATTCCCCCAGAGCCAGGCACCCTCAGCCCCCCTGCTCTAATCCAATGCCCTTCCCCTTCCCCTCCAACCTGTGTCCCGGAACCGCTGCCACACGCTTCTCCCTCCAGGCACTAGTGTACGTGCACAGAGCAGCCAGCCGTGAGCAGTCCAGATGCACGGCTCAGAACTAGCAAGAACCATATTTCTTTAAGCGAAGAGACATGCGGCTCAAGAGCTGTGCGTTGTCCACCTCTGTGCTATGTGGTAAACCTGTCACTTTGCATACTCTGATACACCAGGGCAAAAATCACATAGGCTTCAAGTATGAGCATTTGACCTATTCCTACCTAAATAGAACTCCCCACCTCCTTCCTTTATGCGGAATATCTATGCAAGCCACTTTAAGAGGATGGCTTTTTCAAAATATTCAAAAATAATGAACTGAGAAACTTATGTCCAAACATATCACTATATGGGTGTGTGGATAAATGAATGTGTGTATATGAATATAGGGGTGTGTGTGTGTATACACACACACACACACACACACACACACAAAACACTATACACTACCTCATAGTATTAATTTCTATAAACCCCATCATGTAGTTATGCAACCCAAAAGAATGAACTATATAAAATAGGTAATTATTGCAATTCTAGACTGACAAGTATTAAATTAATCCAGTAATCAAAAAATGGCAACCTCAGCCCTGGAGTACCCATCCAACAAAGCCAAAACATGTATGCTAGTTAGCCAGCACAACTGAGAAGCCCAAAACAGAAAACTCAAATCTCCTAAATCCAAAAACCATACTTATTTGACATTAAATTAATAGTTAAATAATAGTTTATATGGTCATATCCACAGCTTGCTTTAAATTCTAGATACAAAACCAGATAAATGACAATTTCTATTGATTTTTTGTTTTCCTAGCCACAGCTCTGGAATGAACTCCACAGCAACGCTATTCCCCATCATATACAAGCTCCAGATACAAAGACAGTGTAATGAAAATTCTATAGATTTTTTTTTTAATTTTCTGAGGCAGCACATCTCAACCACAGCCCTAGGGTAATCTCCACAACAGCGCAATTCAAAACGCACGGCAAATCCACAGCAGAATCGGCTCAAAGCCCTGATGCAGCCAGACAGCAAACTCCAGGTCATAAATCGCTGAACACGTGCTTTTACAAAAGCTCCACCTTTACTGATCAAGGCAGTTATTGTATTAAAAGCCAAAATCAAATTCTATTTAACTACAAACTAAGATAACCATGTTGAAAAAAATCTTTTAGTAGCGATACAGTAAATAATAAAGGTGAAACCAATATATTCGGGCTACCTTGCACATCTGCAAGTGACATCTAACAAATGCTCTCGTCTCAGCAAAAGTCAAACAGCCAAATATAATCCTCAATTCTCCTTATACTGGGGGCTCAAAAATTAAGTTTGAGAATCTGTCCATCTGATATCCATTCTTATTCAGACAGTATTTAAACAAAAACAATCTTTAGAAACAAAATCCCAATGCAATCCTGTCCCCTGCTATACACAGAAAATGAAACTCATTAGTATATATAGCAATTTTGGACAAACTTAGTACTAAAGCTACTGCAATATTTTTTAATTTACTAGATTCTAAATTTCACCAATAAAATGTGAAAACTTAAGTCCAGAAATAAAAAGAAAAAAATGGTAAAAGAACGCACTTACTCTTGAGATAAAAGGCCATTCCAATATTTTCATCATCTTCTCAGGAGTACAAGGCAGCCTGCGCAATGCGCACTTTCAGTATGAAAAGTGATGATGACTTTAGCCATTTTTTTAGTCTGTTTCTGTACAGTGTAGGGGGTTAAAACATGTTATTTGCTCAACTGTGAAAGTGACTTTTTAATCACTTGTGTTTTTTATCCAGCTTTCACCATACTTGGTAGTGCACATAAGAATAGTTAATAAGGGATCATATCTTTACATATCTTTCCTTCATGAAGGTCACAAAATATTACATAAGATTTCCCTTGAAGGCTATTCTATTTGCTACCACCAGTCCTGGCTTTAGGTTCTCCATCTAGTTGTGATTTCATCATTCCTACCATTCAAGCAAAGGGCTGAAGTGCTCATCTTTCCTTTTATTACCAGATAATTTTTCATAAATGTGTAGAATTAACTATGATCATGCCGTATTTAAAATTAAGTTTTAAAACTATAACAGACTGAATAACAGCCTTTCAAAAAGGTGACCAAAACATATACATACATGACAATTAGGAAAAAAGACAAAAACAATTTAAATTAGAATGGAACATAGAGATTTGGTTCTGATAGGGTTTCCAGGTGTCCAGTTTTCTACCAGACAGTCCGGTATTTGCACCCTCTGTCTGGTAGAAAAATTCAGAAAATACCGGACATTGCACGTCCGGTATTTTCTGAATTCCCAGCTGGGCGCCGGACAGAAGCCTGGCAGGGGCGGGGGAGCGACTGGGAGGCAGGGCCATGATTGGCACTAGGAGCCTGTGGTCGTGTGCAAAAGCTAGGTGTCCAGTTTTCTACCAGACAGTCCGGTATTTGCACCCTCTGTCTGGTAGAAAAATTCAGAAAATACCGGACATTGCACGTCCGGTATTTTCTGAATTCCCAGCTGGGCGCCGGACAGAAGCCTGGCAGGGGCGGGGGAGCGACTGGGAGGCAGGGCCATGATTGGCACTAGGAGCCTGTGGTCGTGTGCAAAAGCTGGGGGAGTGGCTCCCAGCTCCTGCCCCCACCCCACCCGGCTTCTACTAGCAACTTAGAGGGAGCGCCTGCTGGGGGCACAGCCCCTTGGACTCCGGCTGCGGTCAGTGGCTGCACCCCTCCCACCGCCACCAGCTCTGCTTCCCGCCCCCCTTCCTCCCAGCCAGTCTCGAGGCCCCTTCCCCAGCTCTGCTTCCCATCCCCCCCATCCTCCCTCTTCCTCCCGGCTAGCCCCACGGCCCCCGGACTCACCCCGCCAGCTCTGCTTCCCGCCCACCTCCCGCACACATGATCAAGTGTGTCCAGTTTTTTGACGGGGTCTACCTGGTAACCCTATTGGTTCACCAAAAACAGAGGGGTAAATACTGGCAACAGAAGCATAATTATAAAACAAACTTGAGACATCTAATCAATATGCACAATTCTTTCTACTGACACATAGGAAGTTAAGAGGTTTTCAATCTGTTTTAAGGAGTCCTGAAACTCTTCTAATGCTTACTTATTTGGAATCTTGGATAACAAGTAATTATACATGCCTCATCAAAATCAGTAACAACCTGCTTCCTGTCTTCAAGGACTGTATATAATCTAAACACAAAAGATTGAAGTAAAAGTAGCTCCAAATTGAATGATCTCTCATCTTTGAGAAACCTAGTGTTCAAGTTTTAGTGCTTAATCTTGCAAACATTTATGCACATCAAAGCCAATGTGAGTACTCTCATGCTTCGAATCAAGCATGTACACTAATCTTTTCAGGATTAGGATCTGAAGTTTGTGTTTTTAGCACTATTCAGCAATATGAAAATTCTATAGTTATCAGTCTCTTTCTTTTCAGTTTCTCGTAAAACCCTCTGTCATTTCTACAACAAAAAAATCCCACGGAGGACTTCCTCTGACTTTTATTACACTTACAGTTAAAATTAAGAAGAAATAAAAAGGGTATTTATTGTAAATAAAAAGGCTCAAATATAAATGTTAAGTTTTCATCCAAAAGAGCAAACTATAGATACAGGTACTTTCATTCAGATCCTTGCTTCATACCAGATATGCAGAGAGTGAAAGGATGTGGATTTATCTTCCAGGATCTTTTATCTATGATGAGTAACATTCTACTGATTGTATTATATATATATAATTTGTCAAATTTGTGTTTTAATTGTGTAATTGTAGCTAAATAATTTCTCTGCATGTTCCACATAGTACTGAAGTGTCCCTACTTTATGATAATGCACCAGATTTACTATCCATGGTTTTGTCTATATACACAGTGGCATGCAGAATATGTGTACTCACATAATGCAGTGAAAGGTGGTATGACAGTGTGGACCAGGCCCTGAAGCCCCCTGCTACAGGCTTATGGCCTTGCCACACCCCACCAAGCAAATTGGAGAAGTCCTCCAAGAAGGCTAGAGTGGCACAAAGGACTACTAATCGGGGCACAGCAAGCCTGTTAAAAGGAAGCTGTTGTGCAAGAGTAAGGCAGTTCCTCCTGGGAGCTCAAAAGGCTCAGACAGAGCTGGAGTGCTAGACTGTAGGAGCACTACCACAGCAAGGAGTACAGACGCAGACACTAGGCCAAAAAGGGGCCACTCACGTGAGGTAAGTGACAGCCCATAACAGGCGGGTTGTACAAAAACTGCAGGGCATAGCTACATGCAGTAGTGAAAAGCTCTGACAGCAGCAGTCAGTAGGAAAAAGTTGCCAGAGCTGTTCCCTGCTTATGGAGTCTTTCACCTTGCATCAGGGAAAAGCCTGTATTCTATACTGCAAAAAATAACAGCGTAAACATAAAAGACATTGCTTGGGCATGTGTGCAAAGTGCCATACAGGGTATATAACTTAGCAGTTGGCATATCTGTTCTCTACTCAACTAACCAGTGCCACACTGTCTTCACTGCTATTTATAACCATGGTAGGAGGGCAGTGTCTGTATTATGCATGTCATCACAAGTGTAGACATATCTTCTGCTGGGGTCAGCAACCTTTCAGAAGTGGTGTGCCAAGATTTAATTTATTCTCTTCTATTTTCGGGTCTGCGTGTCATCGATTCCTTTTAAAGTCAATATTAGTCCTACTTACAGCAGCTTTATTAATAAATTAAGATGAAGATCTTACTGTTTTAGTAAAACAGGATTTTTAAAAAATCATTAAGATAAGAGTTTAGATATCTGCAACACTCCAAAAAAATTCTGTTAAAAGTATCTTTTTCTTTCTTACTTTGGGATACACAGGCTTAATTCTTGGCTCCATCACAGACTTTATGAGCGAGCTCAGGTAAGCCCCCAAGGGTACATCTACACTACAGTTGAGGTGTAAGTTACAGCTCAAGAAAACATACACATACTACCTTTAACTGAGCTAGTGCACCGAGGATGTGTCTGCACTGCAGTCAAAGACACGCTGTGCTGTAAGGTGTAGAGCACACATACCTCCTGATAGCACTAACGGGAGCTGAAGATGCACCCGAGAGTCTGAGTGTAACATGGAGCTGGTTGACATTTTTAAAGCTTTATTCTTTCTTTTAGGGAGCAGGGAAGGACTCTTTTCTAAAACAAAACTGTCTCATCCTAAACTGTCAGCATTGTCAAAATGGTACCTCCTGTGTAAAAATGACATGCCTTTTCACTAACACTACATCTACACTTCAGGGTTCTTGCGCAAGAAGCCTTTTGCGCAAGAGTTTTTGCACAAAAACTTCATGAGCAAGAGAACGGTCACACCTCAAAGTGCATCGCAAAAGTGATGTCCACTACATGGACGCTCTTGCGCAAAAAGGTCTGATGGCCATTCATCTGCGTTTTTTCCCATAGGGGATTCTTGCACAGGAAACCCCACTAGAGAATCCACACTTGCCTTTTTGCACAATAGCTGTAGCATAAAAGGGAGTTTATGCCTCATAGAAGGAGGTTTACCTACAGCGGCAAAAGCTCTCTGTTCTGCCGTTTTACTGCTGATTTACTTGCGCAAAAGTGCATTTGAGGTATGGACGCTCCGCAGGTTTTTGCGCAAAAACGGCCATTTTTGCACAAAAATCTTGCAGTGTAGATGTAGAATAACTCAAACTTCGAAGTCTTTTATAACCAATTAGTACCAGTTTTTGGAGGGGTTTTTGTAAAGGAAAAATGTCACTAACTTCTTTTGGGGTAGGAGAATAGAAAAGATGTAGGACATTCTGAAAAAGGGGGAAAATTTTAAAAATGAGTCAATTTGGCACACTTTGAAAGGAAAATGAATTAATAAATTAATACTTTGGTTTTCCCCTCTGTGAAAATAGGTCATCATATTTCAGCCAGTTCTGGTAACACAGGGAAAAATCGTGAGTTATGCTTTTGTTGACTGTTCTCATCAGAGCCTTCAGCTTTGTTTTTTAGATCTAGAGCCAGATATACAGAGGTATTTGGGTGCCTGAAGAGGCAGACACATGCCCAATCTGCTTTGCACTCCAGAAAACTCCAGATGTCTAACTCCCATTACAAATCAAATGAAAGTGTTTGTAAATCTAAGCCATTAACACCTCCTTATTTTGCTGCACGGAGCAGCTCCATTTAGCAGCTTCTTGACAATGTCCCACGCATCAGCTGAACTCCCTGCCTGTAAGGCTCAAGCCGCAGTATAGGCTCCCTGCTTCATAGAAGAGGGAGGGAGGGATGGGACTGAGCTCCCTCCCACACGCCAATGAAAATCGGCACTGAGCTTGCACCGTAGGTTGCCAACCTGTTTTATGATTTTATGAAAATTAGGATTATGAAAGGGAGACTTCTCCAAATTATTTGAATTAAATGCAATTGGAAGACTAGATCTTAACTCCATCTTGTTTGTGACATGTTTAATTCTATTCACCCCCCTCACATGGACTTCTCAGATGACCTCTTCTTACTAGATCCCAGGATAAGAAATGAAATGGCAAAAAAGCTTAATTAAACACTAAGTTAAGGTGCCTGCTAATAACTTATGTTTTTCCAGGTCGTCAAGCTCAGAAAAACTCATATCAAAATCGTTACTTGTTTCATATGCTCATGCTCATTCCACTAGTGTGGCAAAGCTCTGACCATGCCCCGTGGGTCCTGCATTTCTGCTGGACATTGTTTGCCTGAGAGGCGTGGTATGACCCTCCACCCAGCCCCCTGCGCTTTACTAGAGGCAAGGATTACAGCCTACTGAGCCTCTCTCATCACAGGCTTGGCCATAGTATGGGGTGTAACCCCTGCACAGTCCTGTTCTCCCCTCTCAGGGGCAGATTCTGCAGTGAAGTGGGAAGAATTGGGGAGGACCCAGGCCAGGGACCCTAAGGGAACAGCAACAGACAGGGTTTGTTCTGCTCCCAGTCTGACAACTATTTTCCTGAGCCACTTCGCCCAACAATCCCTCCTGGTACCTTTCCTCTGCTACCTGAGCAAGCCTGCCCTGCTCCTCCATGGCACTCTACCTTACTTGCAGACCCCAACTTTCACTCAGATACTTCTTACTCTCAGATCTTAGGCTCCTTCCATTCTCCAAACTCCTCATGCACTTTCAATTAACTGCAGAGGAGCTCTTTTTAACCTGTCTCAGCTGATTCTTAATTGACCCAGGTGCTCTGATTACACTCCAGAAACTTCCCAATTGTCTCTATATGCTTCAGTTGGCCTGACTGATTCCAGAAGGTTCCTTCTGGTTCAGGGTTAGCCCTTTGTAGTTCACCCTGGGTACAGAGACTAACTCAATCTTGGGCTAACGTACTTTCCTTCTACCACTCTCCTGTACCTCTGTGGCCTGACACAGTCACACTGGAAAGTCCGACAGTGGGGAAGCAGGGTAGGTCATGGAATAAACATAAGCAACACATCTCTAAGAACACTGGTTACAGAACAGGTAACTGTCTTTTCTTTTCAAGTGCTTGCTCATGTCCATTCTATATTAGGTTACTCCAAGCAGTACCCATGCAAGCCATGTAGCTTGTAGTACAGCTCTGCTGAATCCAACATTATCTATGACCGGCTGAGTGATGGCATAAATGAGACTGAGTGGCATAACATGTAGACTGAGGACTAAATCACATTCTTTAGAAGTCCTGGATCGGGATGTGTGCCAGAAAAGCTTCCAAAGACGCCTATGCTCTAGTTGAATGTGCTTGGACAATCAGCAGTGATGGACCTTTGCCAACACTTTATGCAAGAGCTGATCCAGATGGAAATTCTCTGCGAAGAAACTGGAAGGCCTTCATCCTATCCGCTATAGCGATTAAGAGCTGGGTCAATTTGCAAAAAGGCTTGATACCCTCCAAGTAAAAGGCAAAGGTCCTTTGGATGTCCAGGGTGTGCAGACACCTCTTCTCTGTGGTTTTGTGCAGAACACAGGCAGGAATATGTATTGGTTCACATGGGAGGAAGACACCATTGCAAGAAAGCCAGGTGGGGCTGCAGCTGGACCCAATCCTCATAAAAAACCATCTATGGCAGTTCCCAGGTCAAGGCTTTGATCTCCTGATCTCCCAGACTAGTCTCACCACCAGGAAAGTGACCTTCCAAGACAAGCGGGATAGGGAACAGTTGACCAACGGCTTGAACGGTGGGCAGGTTAGTCTGGAGAGGACCAGGTTAAGATCCCACTGCAGAACAGGGGCTCGCACCTGCAGGTAAAGCCTCTTGAGAGCCTTCAGGAATCTTTCATGTCATGAGAAAATACTAACTGACCTTGTATCATTTGGTGGAATGTAGAGACAGCTGGAAGGTGCGATCTGACAGAATCTTGTGCTAGACTGGGGTGGGCAATAATTTTTACCCGGGGGCCACTTCAAAAATTTTTGAAGTAGTCCTGGGCACCCCGGAAGGGGTGGGACCTAAACAGGAAGAGGCAGGGTTACCCCACCCCCAGATCATGATTGGTTTGGGGGTGGGAAGAGCTCCTTTGTCATCCCCCCCTTCCCACTAGGCATCCATGCCCTGGAAGAGGCTTGGCACACTCCCCCACCCCAGGCCAATCAGGACATGGGGATCGGGGAGCACGGGAAGCCCTCTCCAGCCCTGCGGAGCACGTAGCGCTTTGAAGTGCTGCAGGCTCCTCGCAGGGCTGAGGCGGGTTGAAGGAAACTTCACGCAGCTCCTCCGCCTCCAGGCCGATTGGCCTGGGGAGTGCACGAAGCCTCCTCCGCTCTTTCCCCGCTCTGCGAGAAGTGTGCGGCGCTTCAAAGTGCCATATACTCCTGGCAGAGCAGGAGGAGGCTTCGCGCACTTCCCCGCCCCCAGGCCAATTAAGGCCAAGGAAGGTTCAGTGAATCCCATGGGTTCCTAGGCTACTGACCACTGTCCCTATGGCCACATGGGGAGGTGCAGTACCAAAGGCAGGGGCAACACCATTGGAGTCAGTGGCTGCCCCAGTGGCAGGGAGCCCTGCTTAGTGCTAATTTCCATGGCCGCATGCTCACTGTCTGGCAACCAGAATTGAGAGGGTCTACATACACAGCTTGCTCTCACATAATGCCAGTGCTGGCTCAGTAGGGGGACTGAGTTGGGGTTCCAGAAGAGCCATATCTGTCTCGCAAGCCATATGTTGCCAGCCCCTGTCCTAAGGGAAGGTTAAGATCCTCAGGTTACCCCACAGACACACGTTCCCAAGTGCATCTTCCTGGGTTCAAAAAGGGGTTTTTGCATTTGGCTGGTGGCAGCATATCACCCAAGATCAGGGAGTCTGAGACGTGGGGAAGGTTTTTTTTTTTTTTTTTTTAAACAGAAACCTTTAGTAGCAGAGCATTTTAAGGTCTCTTGCAGGCCCCCAACTTCTGCACTCGAAGTGCCAAAGTGGGGAACAGTTTTGACACGTGGCCAGAGGAAATCTGAGACCAGGAAGACCTGTGCTACAGGTACTGCCAAAAGCATGATTATGATCGATGACAACATTCACAGGAACAGTTATGAGGTCTCAGAGAAGCAGGGCCGATCTCAGAGAAGCAGGGCCAGTCTCAGTAATCCTGCCCGGTGGTATAAGCCTCAACTGATCTCTGCAAAGTTCCAGCGAGCAACACCCCAAGTCTTGCATTTGGCACCCGGAGACCAGGGATCGCCTCCCAAAGCCCGAGGCCTGAAGGCTTCCTGTGGGGAAGCACAGGCAAGACATCTCCTTGGACAGAGAGTTGCATTGCTTGTGTGGAGACACCTGAAAGGAACGGAATGTGTGCTTTTCCCAAGACCATGACACTGTCAATATAGTCTGCCCTGCCCACAAGCCCTCAGGGATTGACAGCACCTCTAAATGTCACCATGGGCACAGCTATGCGGTAGACAGCAGCTGCTCCCTGGGGCAGGTTGGGACCATGATGCCAGCCAGTGGCTGTTTCCTGGGTTTGGGCACTTACTTACGGCTCCCTGTGGTCATTTATGAGTATAAATGTCCCTCCTATCACCCGCCTCCCTTCCCACTGATGACAAACAATCACATTCCATGCACATCCCATTGTCCTGCCATAACCAAACCCTGACCTTCCTTTAAGTCATGATACGAGGAAGCGGTATACCAAATTTGGTGGTTCCAGCTCTTACCATATAGGAGGAGATCTTGAACAAATGGTCTCACAGACGGACAGACATGCAGACAGATGCATAAACTCTCTAAAATATATAGTAGATGCTTGGCTCTGTTATTTTAATAGTCTTGCAGGACGTAAATACCACCCATTTTCTTTTCAACTATCCATTTCAGCACAGCACTTTTAGATGTAATTTAAAAATGAGGCAATAAAGTACAAAACTAACTTACTTTGAGCATGCATATGCTGGCCTTTACAGATAATGTAAATTTGCAAAAAAAATACCTGAATACTTAATATCCCATCACCTGACATACTTATACTATAGCCCATTTATAGCTAAAATATTCCTGGGGTTTTTATTTGCCTAATGACAATCATATGCCTGATTTCTTGTAACGGGGTTTTCAAGCCACCGTTTACAGTACATTGCTGGCAATGTAAAAGAGTGTAGGTTTAGGGTTTCTGCTCAATCACAGGCTGTAGAAAATATCTTTATCTGCTTATCAATGTACCCATGTACATTATAAAATAAGTTTAGCTGTTTTTATATTAAGAAGGCTGCATGGAGAAGTTGAGTACTGGCATACATTTAATCTGCATGCTTGCAAGGTGAGGAAGATTGGCCCCAATACTGTAGCTTATGCTCTGACATTAACTGCATGAGACGGCTGGATATTTTAAACTTAAAATCTGTATTAGCTGAGGACAAATGAAGGATTCAAATATTATCTGTTTAAAGGCCTGTTACTAAGCGGGGTTGGAAGGAAGTTTATAGAAAGTTACTATAATGGGAACAAGAGGATATATTAGGTACTATAGATAAAAGAGCATTATTCTAGCAAAATAGTATGAAGAGGATTCAAATATTGTTAATTTAATGACTCTTCTTACAAACAGTGTTATGAATCAATTTATTATTCAAGTTGTCACAAAAAGATGACTACCTATTTCACATCATCTGTTCTAAAAGACAGGGGAAAACAGGATTGTCAGTTTTGGCAAAACATACTTCTAGAGCTGTGGTCACCAACCCGTTGATCACGATCAACTGGTCGATTTTGGGGGCATGACCAGTCAATTGCAAGGCATTCCAGCCCCCCCCCCCCCCCCCCCGCATTCTCCTGCACCCTCAAGAAGTAGCCGGCGCTGGCACTACCTCCTGTGAAAGTGGAGGTAGTGCTGGCTTCCTGAGGCCTGGGGAGAGAACTCCCGCAGCTGGGCACCAGACCCACTGTCTCAGGAAGCACACGGGCTGCTCCTCCCCTCCCCCAAACAGCCGGCGTGCTTTCTGAAAAGTCGGGTCTGGTGCACAGCCAGGGACTTCCCTTCTCTCCACTCCCTCCCTCCGCCGGTGCAGGAGGGCAGGCAGTAAGAGAAAGGAAGTTCTGGGCTGCCAAACCCTCCCCCTCCCCCGAGCAGGAAGGCAGCAGGGGGAAGGAAGTCCCCAGCTGCGTGCCAGATCCAACTTCTCAGGAAACACGCCGGCTGTTTGGGGGAGGGAAGTGTGAATTTTTCACACCCCCGAGTTACTCACACTGGTTGAGTAACTTACCAAAGATCATACAGGGTTTAAGCAGCAGTCTAAGAAATAGAAAAAACACCTCCAGACTTGCAATTTTGAACCAAAATTTTTTAAAAAAATTACACAGAAGTGACTTGTAAAGGGAAAATAGTGGACTTATCCTTTTTTCCTTCTTTATGATGCATAATAAAAGCCTGAGTAGTTTTCTCTGAAGTGGAGAAAAAGGAAGAAGTTGGGAAGGGGTCTAGTTGCTTCTATTATACACAAACTCTCTCCAGTGTATCTCTGTGTTCAAGAATTCCTCCTAAAAGGTAAGAACTGTGACCATCAGATTCAGTATTCAGCTTCCTCATATCATAATTTAAAGCAAGGTAAGGAAAATGGGATGTGCCTGGAATAGTATTTCTTTTCAGAAAACCATACAGAAAAGAGAAAGAATCACCAGGTAGGTGAAAGGGACTAGTTGGGGGACACCCTTTCCCCCCGATCCAGAACAGCCCCATCCCTGAGAGTACTCCCTGGCACCCTTTAGGGAGGGCAGAAGACATTGAAGCTCCCCCCACCACATATTCATGGGGAACACTGCTGGATGTTCTCCTTCATAATGGAACAAGAGGAAAGTGCACAACTTATTGCATTCCTCACTCTGGTTGGGCAGCATATGGGGCAGATGAACCTGGACCTGCCCCAGCCGGGGAACATGAACCCCTCCCCCGACTATGCCTGCTGGAGCCATGGAGAAGCAGCCATGGAGAAGCATCTCTCACCTGGCCCCAAGCTGATGTGGTGAAAGAGGGCTGGTATAGCCCTCTTTCCTTAGGGCAGCCTGTACACTGAACCTCTCATCCTCAGTCCCATTCCAGAGCAGTGATTCAAACAAAGCATGTACATTTTCATTTTATTTTCCAAAAAAATAAAAAAATTATTTAAGGACCCAAGCAATGCTGGGTAAATCTTCTAGTACTTTTCATATTATAAAAAGTGTTCTGTCCTGCCTTCACACATTTTTTTGGCACATCACCTTTCACATAAAGTTAATACTGTATATTACATCAGATAATGATGTTATATTGATTTAATTAAAAGAAAATGTTAGTGTGTTGATAACACGAATCTGCATTCCTGATTTCTCAGAAGAGATTTGTTTTCCATTGTAAATTAAATCTGTAATAAGGCCCTATTCAGGAAAAAAAGAAATATTGTCTCCAAGGCTACTGGTCCAGTGGAAATTCTTCAAGCTCTCTTAACTATGCAAGTACAGAGACTCCTCCCTCTTCTAAAGGGACAAGTGTTCCTCTCAATTACAAAAGATACATTTAGCAGACATTGTGTGGTTACCCAGAACCATCTTCAGCCCATATCTAGCTACTATCAAGATTGACAGGAAAATCCAGGGTCATGCAGAGTTAGCCACACTTCTTCAGCATGTAAACTTCAAGGTGGATTCTACTTATGAATTTAAATAAGCCATGGCCTAAAGACACAGGAACTTCCCAACTTGACAGCACCATTTCAAATGACAAAGATATACAAGATATACCATTTCAAATGACAAAAATATACAAGAGCTTAGGAAGAGTTTGTTTGTTTGTGGATCTCTTTGTTCAACATAAAGTCATACTTCATGATTACCTACAGATACCAAATTTTACATTAACAATCCAGCCATTTAAATTAGTTAAATCCACTACTTTTTAAACTGGAATATGCTGGGTGAAAGGTTTAAATAATTATTTTTGTTTTTCATCAGAAAAAAGCATTACTATT